TGTTCATATTTCAAACCATAATTAATAGATCTATAAATTTGTATAGAAATATAATAATTCCATTACTTACATCAGAGTATAGAATTGTAAGAGGTCCGACTACCCTCATTTTGTATGCACACAATGAAAAGTTTTAAAAAAAATCTTCCATGAGATAACGGGCGCCCTATAAGAATGCGAGTAGACTTCGCTCAAAACTCGTCTTTTGAAGGACACGCCCCTTGCAGTTCTGTACTCTTTGCTTACATGCACAAATTATTGATCATAACAAAATATATAATAAATAATTAATGTATTTGGTGGTGCTTTCTATGACCTGACACAGTTCTCTCTCATTGGTATATCATGATTATTATTAATCATAAATATCATTATTATTAATATTATAAATATATTTAAAAATAATAAAAAATATAATAATTTTTTTTTTTAAATGTTCAATTCATCATTTTAAGTTAATTCTAGTATGTAAATATTTTATTATAGCAAGCATTTGTAAATAAAATTTGATCAACATTTCTGTGTCATAAATGATCTATGATGTCATCAACTCCTCTGTGATGTCATCAAAACTTTGTGACCACATCAACTCCATGGTGATGCAAAGTCGAGTGGTTCTCCCGCATTTGTCAGCTGACTTCTCCTCTGTTTTATTCTTGTACATTTGGAGCATGGTTGGTGATCCTTCTTGCATGCTTTGTGGAAAACTGTCTTGCATGTTTCACACTTGAAAAAGAAAAAAAATTAAGGTTCATTCTATAGCTCAGGGTATACTACTGCATTCAAATCACGTAAACACCAGGATTTTCTCAGGTTTTATAAACAGCATAATGAGACTTGTTCTGGATCCACACAAGACATTAATTTTAAAAAGATGTTAAATATTACAAGAACTTTCTGAGATATTCCCACCAAAATCTCTATCGCCGTTACACAAGTGAATTAAAATCTTGCTATTGATGGATGGATGTACTTGGTGTAAATGCCAAGGAAAACCCACAAAAGTTTGAAGACTTATTTCCAGTGGGGTCCCTTCTGGTGGTGATTGGGCAGTACACCGGGAGACAATCCACTACACTTTTCCAAAAAGGGTACTATGTTCTTGAACGAGTACATGGGCCATAATGCAATCAAGGCTTAAAACGTCTCATCCGATGGATAGTGCGCCATCGTAGCTGGCATTTCAGACCTCATTTCAGACAGCAGCAATAGGAATTGAACCGGGGACCAAGATATCTCAATAGTTCAGCACACAGAGTGGCTAAGATCAGTTTAGCCAACTGAGCTAAGCTGACAGACAGTGATGATCTGTGCAAAACTAAAGTAGAAGGTACAGCATGCTGCACCCATGTACACAGATCTATGTTAAATTTCTCAGTAGTTTATACAAGCCTCTGCAATGTCTGTTTTTCTTTCATGGATATTAAACGACAAGTGTGCTAATCTTACTTTGTGTCCTTAACATGGATGTAACATAGCAAGATACATTTGCTAAACTTGCCCTAGCATGTCCAATGTAACATTTTCTGCCTTATGTAAAACAGGTTTTAATTCTGTACTTTCTTTGAGACTCCTAAGAAAAAAAAAAAGTTTTTTTAAAGCAACATTAAAAATCCATATTCCCCAACTCACCCTTGTAGTGAGTTCGACATCGAAGGGGTAGATGACCTTTGGGCTGTCACATATCTCACAGATGAAGCCTTTCTGACGGCAAAGAATACAGTTGTACACATGCTTAGCTGCCCAGTTTATGACTTTCTTAAGATCCTTGGCAAGTTGGCCGGACTGTACATGGTGCATGTCCTGTAATACAAACACTGTTAAGCCCTGTCCAAACTATATGTGATATGCCTAAATATGGTCATGATGTGATGTCATATGTACGCATTATGACTATTGTAATAATGTAGAACACCCAATTGCATATATAAGCCGTAAATTACTTTCTAGGGAACAGCGATATTCTGTTCCAGAAAAAGAATGCTTGGCTATTATCTGGGCGATTAAGAAGTTAAAATACTATATGTATGGTCGACAGTTTGTACTTGAAACGGACCACAGAGCTCTCAAATGGTTGAAGTCAATGCAAAACAATAACAATCGCCTTATGCGATGGGCAATTATGTTACAAGATTATACCTTTGAGATTAAATATAAAAAGGGCAGCATAAATGGAAATGCTGATGGCCTAAGTAGAGCTTAAATAAAGCTAAAGTTTATGAATTGCATGACATATTAAGTTGATTTTCTTTTAAACATTTTTACTTCC